GATGAGAGCAGAACCTTGATGTGATCGATGGCATCACAAGAGCTGCTGCATTTTTAAAAACAGGAAAAAATCCTGAAATTCATTTTAAAATAAACCCGTGTCTGAACAGGTACCACTAGCATATTTTGTTTCAAACCACACATCAATAAGTCATTGGTGCTCTGAACAGCACATGCAGGTCAAAGGGCAAAGGTCACAGCTGGTCCTAAAGATCAGATGTTTACAAGGACATTTTCTGCTGCACAGAATAAACAGCTCAGTTTGATGATGACATATTTTATTCTGTTTTTTGAGTTGAACCCTTTTGTTGTCTTTACATTATTTCATCTGTGTCTCGTTACAGCGATAAAGGTTGAGCCTTCACTAGAGCAGCTGTCTGCCTCTCTGTGTGTGTGAAGAACGTGGGTCAAAGCTGTTTTTGATCACAGGTGGCGTTGCAGAGCGCAACGTCCAGGTCAGGTCGATGTGCCAAAGGAAACATGCCCAGCATACAGTTCTAGTGCAAACTGTGATCAACTGGATTCACAAGCATGCACCAGGTTGTTTACATCAGCAACACTGAGGGGTTACTCTCAGCTGTTTAGACGTGGGTCATCTAACACAGCTTCATGCTCTGAATGCTGCAGCTAAAATCCAGACTCATCAGTCCATGAAAGGTTTTCTGATCTCTTCAGGTCCAGTTCTGGTGATCCTGTGGGAAGTGTAGCTTCACGTTCCCGTTCTTAGCAGACAGGACAGAGACCTGGTGTGGTCTTCTGCTGCTAGAGTGCATCTGGAGCAGCTGGTGTGGTTCTGCAGACGTTGGCGGCAACCAGTGATTATTCCAGCTGTTGTTGTCTTGCTTGTTTTCCAGAACAAGACTTTTGCCTCCGCACATCTGCTGCTCTCTCTTTTCTGTAACCCCCAGAGACCCAAATTTAGCAAACAACTGCAAAATCTTTTTTTAACCTTTCACATGTTGTTCTAGGAGGCCAGATAAACGGGCCTATATACACATTTTAACAGCCAATAGTGTTGCAGAACTGAACAATAGGACTTATTAGCAATGTAAATGTGGTTTTAAAAAGAAAAAAAATGGGGAAGGTTTATTTTTGTAGACTTAAATCTGATATTGTAATATTACAACTGTGGTGTAGATCAGCAGATTCAAGAGATCTAGAACCAGCCTGTCTGCTACCAACAGCCATGCCTGATTAAAAGTCAGTTTAATCTCCTTTCTTTTCTTTTCTATTAGAACCTCAGCAGCTCCTCTTCACCACGTGCCTGAATTGACATGTCCCTAATAAAGAGGCCATCTTTAGTGTGTGCATTACCCTGTTTGCATATCACAAGCCAGTGTTGGTTATTTAAGAGGCTTGAAGGGCTCCACTGATTTTTCCTGATTCCTGTTGTAGGATTAAATGTAGTGCTTTAAGAGCTTAATATGTTACCTCTACTTATGACCAATAAGCTGTGATACTCTATATAAATATAGAATATCAACCTGCTTGGTGTTTGGGTGTTTCATCAGAAGACTCTAGGATTCTTGTTTAGTCAGGGATTGTAAACACTTTGTTTTGATTCGGGAAAGAGTCAGGTTTGTAAAAGTAAGAATTTATTTTACAAACAACTAAAACATGACAAGATGACTAATATTTACTGTGATGGATGGATCTAGATGGAGGAGATGGGATGTATGGTGCCTGTGTGAATATGATGTTATCAGAACTCCGTATGGAGAAGAGCTGAGTTCTGGGTGTAAAAGAATTTGGTTTGAAGCTATGAAGTTGATTCTTATCAAAAGGCATCGGACGCTATCTGTGTGTCTACTTCAGCCGTTCTTGGAGACCCCCGTTTGGATCCGAGATGCCAAGGAGCCGATGACCCCAACGCGCGTGGTTCGTAGCGAAACCCTCGATGCGACCAAGTCCGTCCTGAGTGGCCTCCGGGTCACAAGGTAGATGAAATTGGTTGCGTCTTAGAGCAGCTGTTTCTGAGTAGCTGAAGGAGCACGTTGCTTTGTTCTGAAGGAACAGGTTTGTCTGTCAGCTTTGCAGCAACCTTGACGGCGTGTCAAAGATTGCTTCTGGGTTAAAGAGACTTCACTACGGACGGCCGTTTCCGTAGCTTCCTCTGGAACTCTGTAGAACTGGAACACTGGCTCACCGTAAGGTGAGTTCTGGTTTTATATTCTCATATTAGTTTCTTAACAAATCAGAGCGTGCCATGTTAGGGGATATTACCAAGAATCTCAGTAACACACGCCTTCTTTCAGATCCAGAGGTTCTGATTTGTGGGTAAGAAAATATCTGTGTCACGCGTTTGATTTATCTTTACTTTGTCCTTGTGTGCGTGTGGATGGTGATCATGGACGTAATTTTTGGGGGGGACAGGGGGGACATGTCCCCCCCACTTTTTTCAAAGTCAAGTTTTGACCCCTGCAATTTTTACCATCCAAAAACAATATTACTTTATACTAAATTGACACTGGTTGAGCTCTAGGACCAAGCAGAAAACAACCTTTTGTGTTGAAGCCTGTTTCCTATTAGAACATACTGTAAAGATACCCCTCCCACCGCCACCCCCGTGTCCCCCCCACTTCTAAAGTGAAAATTACGTCCATGATGGTGATGGCCTTGTTATATCAAAACATTACTGATCCTTATATAAATTAATTTCACAGATAAATCAAACATTTCATTTAGTGTTCATATAACATTTGTTCATCAACCAAATGATTCTTTAATGACTAATTAACCTATAAGTTTTAAATGTTCACTTTATATCCAAGAGTTCATTCTTTGATGAAGCAACTAATCCGAGCTGAGAGTGTTCACTTTCTTCAGAGGCATTAAGAGTCCTGTACGCGATAATAAAAGCTTGAGGCCTTGAGGACAGAACGTGATTGTTGACAATACGTTATCATGTGTTCAGAGCTGCAGAAAGGCTCTGAGCCAGCTGGTGGGATGCAGGATCCGGCAGATTAAGGCCTAGTCCACACGTAGCCGGGTTTCTTTAAACGAATATCCGCCCATCCAAAAACTTGCATCCACACCACCTCGTTTTAAAAAAAAACTCTGTCCACACGTACCCGGAAAAATACGTTGTTAAGGACATGCCAGACCTGTAGGCAGCAGTACTTCCCCCGTTCTTAACCTCGTCCTTCGTCTGTGGTCTTCCGCAAGGAGCAGTAATTCCGCTTGCAGAAACAAACAAGCAAAAAGCGCTTGGACAATTGATAAAGCGAGCGCAGCTCTGAGGGCATCCATGCTGTCGGCTAGTGTAAACACAGGTCGCACACGTGATGTCAGCATTTTTTGTCGCGGAAAGTGACGTTGCGGACCTTAAAACTCCGGTTTTGTCTGTCCACACGCAGACACCCAAAACGGAGAAAACGCGGATCTTCACTTTGGCCGGAGTTTTTAAAAAGATCAGTTTTCGTGTGAAAAAACTCCGTTTTCGTGTGGCTGACAGGCCAAAACGTAGAAAAATATCCACGTTTTGGCAGATCCCCGGCTACGTGTGGACAGGGCCTAAAGGAAACACATGAAGACTCCTGTCTCCACGTCGACCAGATATTGAAGGGTTGAACTGTACTTAAAACTGACCGTTACTGGACATTACACTGTTGAATATTCGACTTAACTTAGTGCTGACAAACATCTGGTCTGCATAAAACAGTCATGCATCACGTCAGACCTGGGTCTCACATTTAGCACCACCACATGTTCAAATGTTATGAAAAGAACCTTAATGTCATCCAGCTAAATGAGAGACACGAACACACAATGGGTGGACTCAGGTCAGACTGCTTTCTGCAGAGTGTTGCTGTGCCTGAACCCACAGCTGCAGAAGATGCCGTCTCGTCCACTTTCTACACGTATTTAATAATAATAATGATTATAATAACAATAACACATTTTATTTTAAAAGCGCCTTTCAGGTCACCCAGGGTCACTTTACAGGAGAAAGAACACAGTACACAATAAAAATACAAATAAAACAACTAAAGGACAAAAAACAGAATAAAATAGATCAAATCACAAACAGTAAGCGGTTTGGAACAGATGGGTTTTGAGTTTGGTTTTGAAGAGGTTGAAGCTTTTGGTGGTTCTGATGTCAGGAAGCAGAGTTCCAGAGACGGGGAGCAGAGCCTGTAATGGGCCATTCCCATCTGTACCGGGTCGGCCCGGGCCGGGTAGCGTAGGTTGTTTACATATCTGGGTGGCCTGGTATTTTTCCGGGCCAACCAAGGCTCATTCTCAGCCCTCTTCTCGAGGGGGTCTGCTTCAGGCCGACCAGGGCCAACACACCCACTGCTGACAGCAAATTCACACCTTCCATTAGAGCAAGCCTCTGATTGGTGGGTAGAATCAGCCCACATGGGCTCAAGACAAGGATGTGTGGAATCAACCGGGCCAGGCTGGGGCCGACTGGGGCTACCCGGCCCGGGCCGACCCGGTACAGATGGGAATGGCCCATAAGTGTGCTTCTAAAGCTGAGAGGGCGACGCTCTGAGGAGAGTTCATTTGAATTCACTGGGAGGTTGTCTCAGTCCCTCATTTATTCAAAAACAATGGTCAAATAAAAACAATTATTTCCAGAGAAGAAGTAGCTTCAGTTTGAGAGGATGAGTGGGACCAGAGCTCAGCCAATGGGTCAGAACCTTTCAGAGAGCAATGGTCAGCTTAAGAAGCCCAAATAGTAGCACACATATTCTACTCAGTCATTTCACTCAGTTGGGATATTTTCATGTTGCAGCATCTTGAGAACACAGTTTTATTTGATGGTTTTACACAAACAGCTAACAATGTAATTTTACACTTGCACTGGTGTAAAATGTTTCTTGGGAACGGTTACTAAACTCCTGGAGCCTTAAGTAGATCCAGCTCCACGTCTAGGACGGGTTAAACCCCCTCCATGTGTCCAGGAGCTGTGTCCCCCGTCCACAACAGACTGACTGTGTCTCAGACAGAAACTCTTTGTGTGAGAGAGCGTGTGATCGTGCCAGCCAGAGAGAAGACACTAGGTCACTGACACGCCTCCATCCAGCACAATCAGAAAGGCTCCAGATGAAATAATGAGAATAACCTTTTAAACATCAGCCCTGTAGATTTTACCTCCACCAGACAGGATCCCTGTTAGACCCGACTCACAGCTCTGGTTGACCTCTCGTCTCCATCACTGTGAAGATTATGTCATATTTATGGTTCACAAAGGATTTCGCATCACGACCTGTGTGACCCGGACAGGCGACCACTGTCCCAGCAGTTCCCACTGGCCTCTGACCGATGGAGTGAAATCTGAAGGTAGATGCTTTGGGGAAGGTGAAGCTCGGGGTGGAGATGCTGCTGTCACACCACACTGATAGAAGATGAGACAACGGTAGGCTCTGACTAACAACTAAGCAAACGAGCAGACAGGAAGAAGCTCCTTACATCAGGTGTGACTCATTTATAGGAACAGGTCCTGTTGGTTTAGCTGACTTCATGTTCATGGCTGTGTGAATCTGTGGTTCTTTGTTTAACACGAGCATCAGCAACATAACAGTGTTACGATGATGTCAGTCTGAAACGAAAGGTGATTGGTCGATAACAGCAGGAGGAATAATGTCTGCTTCCTACGGACTGATGACCACCAACAGCCCTTCTGTAATGTGGAAGCATGAACGTCATATGAACACATGAATATGTGCCCACATAAACAGACTAAGGCCGAGGGTGATTTCCCTGTGACATCAGCAGCAGCGCAGCGTGAAGGATCTGATCAGAACAGAGTTACATGTTGGGGCGTGTGTTGCATCGGCTTCTTTTAACAAATTAGGTAACTTGAAGAAGCTAATTGCTGTGGATTAAAACTAATCTCACCATCCTGCAGGATACACGCCTTTAAGGCCTCCTTTCTTGTGTTTTCGTTTCACAATGAGCCGCATGTTTTCAGTCTGGACTGCAGGAATGTCAGTACAGTGTTTATTTTTGTTCAGAATTTCACCAAATTATCTGATTTATTTTACATCAACCTCAGAGCCCACTGTCCTCGTCCTCAACCCTAGAACACTAACGTTAAAATTAGTAACACCATCACTAATGTCGGGTTTATTTAACCCGAAATAATATCCCAAATAATATATAGTTTTCATCAGCTTATGTAAAAGTACAACACTGTATGCCAAACTGTAATTCTCTTCTCTAGTTTCCCAATTTACAGAATCACATAAAATAATGAAAGGAACCATGGGGGACCCTTTAGAAGTCAGCAAAATTATTGGAAAATCAGGAAATTCTTAAGGAGAAAATTCCAAACAAAAAGAAAAAATTGGAGCTGGGGACTTCTTCTTCAGTCCACCTATTCCTGGGACGTGTAAGCCATGTCTGTGAGGCACAGTCTTCCTGGATCACTAAATCCACCTGTAAAAGCATCACTCTCTATCACTAATGTCTGGTGAAAAAAAAAACCTAGATCACTGTAAACCCAAACTTTGATTCAACTCAAATTATCTTGTTCACATTACTTAACTGTTTCTAAATTGTTAGCATTACTTGTTAATCCCGAGTTAGCTGAGCTGTTTCATGTCCTTTCTTATTGTAATTGCGATTTGAAGTTCAATTAGAACTCTCTACTTATACAAATTGAGTTCATATTACTTATAAACACGTACTTTTTAATACCACGTATAAATTTGGGTAAACTGTACTTTTTAATGGCCTAGCTTATCGTACTTATATGTTTGAGCTCAAACTACTCAAAATGATCAAGTTTGCTCAATAACCTGTTTCACACTGGTTTTGACCAGGTGCCATTGAGGACAGAACAGAACAGAGAAGCACAGAACAAAGAGGAAGAACTCAGTTGCACTGAAGTTTTAACAAGCCAGTATTCCACCCCATGTTTGAAGCCTTAGGCAAATTACCAGACATTTACCAGCAAAGGTGGTTGTTTGTTGTTGTCATGGTGGCGCCATAAGTGAGGAGGACGGTTTAAAGAAATGGGAACACTGTGCCATTCCACTGTTAACAAAAAATTGGTGGTTCACACTTAAGGTACTGGTCTCAGTTACTTGTGTCCAACACTCACTGACTGCTTGCAACCATGTGATGCATGAGTTAGCCGGCATCGTTCAGTCTCAGTTAAAATCTACCATTTTGTCCAATTTGGAAAGCAGTGATATGTAATAAACAAGCTGACATATAAATGGGGGGTTTGTGTCAGCTAAGTATCTTTAGTAACTGTAAAGCCTGATTTATGCTTCTCCGTCTGCGTCAGTGCGGAGACACGCAACGCCATTATCCATCCTTGCGTAGGGATCCAGCAGGCACGCAAGTACGTACGGAGTCGAGCCCACTTTTTTAAACATCCGTCGAACGAAACAGATTACGCAAGCTTGTGATTGGTCAGTACGCCGCTGTTGTTTACAGCGCCGCCATTGCCAAGAGAGCCGAGGATAACTAGCGGCAGACACGGAGAAGCTTGAAGGATACCTCGCGAAAAAACTTTAAAATTATTTATGTTTAATTCTCCCGTGACTGGAGGAGTGAAAAGATGCGCAGCAAGCGTTTTATTTGTGGACGGAAATGACAGGAAACGTGGGTTTAGAGGTGGGGAGCGCATGAAGAGGTGGAGGAGAATGAGAGACAAATATGTCCGTGTTAAAAGTCTCTTATATACACAAAAACACAATATAAACACACGATCTTGGACCGATACTGTTTTTTTTTTCTTTTTGTTTTTGGTGCACCGTTCCTGGAGACACTGCAGCGCTACGCCCTCTGTTGTCCTGCCGGGGAATTGCTTTGCAACACTCTCCAGGAGACGGAGAAGTATGAGAGCAAAACGCTTCCGTCAATCCGTGCGTGTCTGTCCCTTGCGGAGCTGACGGAGAAGCATGAACCAGGCTTAACTGTTACTAGTACATTTAACTTACAGACTCAAGTACATTGAACTTGGTTTTCTGCATGCTTTATTAATCAAAAAAATTTAAGGCAACGAGTTACCTGGATTTTTCAAGTAAACACTACTTATCTGGGTCCAGATTGATGGGAGGAGGGAGACAAACACACCATTAATAACATCAGTGAGCAGCCTGAGGCTGTGCAAGGACCCATGCAACTCAGACAGCAGCAGCACAACAACCAACCAACGTCAGTGATCTAGGGTTACGGGACACAATGCTGCATGTTTTAGTGGTTTCTTCTCGAACACACCTGATGCACGAACCCATCCCTCTCAAACATTAGAGAATAAGAGTACTGTTTTAGATTTTTCTTTGCTCCTGCACACATGAATCACATGAACAAATGGCCTCGAGACTTTGCTATTAAACTTTAACTCATCCGTTAATTTAAACCAGGTGTGCTGAAGGAGGGGATTACCTAAAATGTGCAGGATATTGGGAGCTAAAGACTTGGGATCAGGAAAGTCTACACATTTTAGCAGTTTCAATTGTGAAATAGTGTTTCATTGTTGGTGAAACGCTGTCTGCTCCACTGGATCATGTATGTTGCTCCTAGAGAAGCACTTTAACTGTAAGCCCATTTTCTAATTTAACTTCTGTAGATTTTACGAGCTTTCATCTCATCATAATTTGTGTTTGGAGAGTTTCTAACATTAAGAGTCAGTTAGACGTCCTGATAAATTGACCTTTTCAGGTTCTCTGAGACAGTTGTGCTGTGTCTGCCCAGTCCTGATGACGCAACTCATCACTGAGGATTTCTGTCCATCTTCTTCTGATGCTTATCTTGATGTGGTGACGTCTGACAGTGCAACAGATAGGTGCTCTGAGTGTGAACAGAGTGCTTGTTTGGGTCCACCCCCCCTCTCACGTGCCATCTGCTCTTACCCCAGCCCTGGACCAGAGGAGACCTGTCAGCATAGAGATGTTTCTGTCCTCACCGAGCGTCCCACATGCCTCTGTGCCCCTTCACTGTGCAATCTGGTGCATGGCACCGACCAGTGCTCGCTTACAGGCCCGCCACAGTCCAACAGACGGGAGAGAAGTCCGTTCTGAGAGCCAAGAATCAGAACGTGTGCTTCCCTACCGCTCAGAGTCAGCTCAGTCATGTTTCAGATGTTTGAGAAAGACTCCGACCAGAGGGAACTTCTGTCCACTTGTTTAACTGAAACTTGTTTTATTTTAAGGCCACAAAAAAGTCGTATCATCCTCCCTTGCCTATTTGTGCTTCTGTGTAAATGCAGCTCCACAGAAATGCCTGAATGCCCACACAGGTCAAGATGCTGCAGATAAACAAGAGATGGCTTTTTGTCTCAGACCAGTCTTCTTCAGGACTCTCTGGCACCGTTTCTAGAAAAGAAAACTGCCTTTTTTCCCTGCAGGGTTTTCCTGAATGAGTCCTAATTTCCTTTCCTTTTCCAGAGCATGCTAAGCGCTCTGCTCCAGATTATGTTCACGTACATCCTTCCTGGATTCCCGTTGAGTTCTGGGGCGTGTTCCAAACATCTGGAAGTTTCTGGTCATCTTCGGGGCATCATGTGATGAAAAACGTGCCGCATGCAAAATTCATAAAGAAACAACCATTTCATTCAGACTGGGCCCACATTTTGATGTCATCGCACTCACTGGGAAAGGAACCAGCACAGAAATGGATCTGTACTGGGCTTTCACTCGACCCAAGGCTGAGAACAGAGCCGACTCTTCTCACACTCGACATTTCATGTGGCCTCAGTAAACGTTCTAACTCTCTCCTGCCGTCATTAATCTGAAGGTTTGTTTCCTCAGACTGGTTAGCGTTTGAGTTTAATGCTGAGAGCCTGGCCTGAGCGCTGGAGTGGGTCAGGAGTGGGAGTCGTATCGGGCTCATTCATTATTCATGCCACGGGTGGGCAGGGTGTAAGTGGCAGTGACAGACAGAAACTCAATTACTGATGTGTATCAACTCGTCCAGGGTTCTTGACCTGATATTTCACGACTCGGGCATTAATTGCTGAATTGCACAAACAAAAATCATTTCCTGGGAAAAGTAATTGGATTGTTGATGCCTGGAGGGGGTCTGCAGAGATGGAGGAGAGAAAGCTCTGATTCGACTTTACATGAGAGGTAGGTTCTCATAACTTCTGCTTTCGCCAAGCTGTCATTAGATATTCATAGAAATCTATTTAAACGGAGCTGTTTGATGAGATCCTGTTGTAGTCCAACAGTTTAATTCAGACCTCCATCAGACCGCGTGGGCCCTGCTGTTTATTGTAAACATCATTTAAAGGTTTTAGTTGACGTTGCTGCCAGTCTGAGACGCAGCTCTGGAGCAGATTATTGCTTTCTGTTCGTCACTGTAGCTTTGGGACATTTTTAAATGTTTTATTGACTCTGTTCACGCGTTTGTTCCTTTATGTGTTCTGACTTAATAAATCAGAGTAAAACAGCTTACTGGTTGTTTTGCAAAATGGAAAAAGTAAAAGATGTGTCTTTGTTTAAATCCTGCCAAACTTCAACTATGAGTCTAATATTTTACTAGTAAGAAAAAAGATTGTGAAACACCATGGGGGTTAAAGCTTTTTATATTAAACAAAGACAATAAACTGTCTGGTTAAGCCAGAGAACAGCTGAATGTAAAATGATAGTATGCTGAAACTGAACTTTAATGTCACTTGGCTGTAATGTAGCCACTCGAGTCACAAGAGAAGAGGATGTTTCACACGTCCACTCAGGTGCTTCTTCCCTCTGAAATATGGATTCCTCCAGTAAATACATGATGATGTTATGATGAGTATATAACTTTATTTATATGCACCTATAATAATAATAGTGTTATTCCACACTGTGCCAGTAGGTGGCAGCCTATGGAGACCAATGAGAAGCTTATGAGCGTCATCAACATCCCTCAGCAGCTGTTGCCTGTAGCAACCGCACCACTCATGAGAGGGTTTACCAACAGAAGTGAGTTTCATGTTGTGGACGTGAAGCAGAATTAAAAGTGTGATCTGAATTTGTCACAACAAACTTGTTATTAATCAAGAATATGATCCGTGTGTGTTTACTGGTTTGATGTGTTTCCCTGTCAGTCAGTAAAAAAGAATCTGCTCTAGTTGCTGATTTGTTTTCCTGGATTGGTGGTTTTTGACTGAAATGATTGATTAGCAGAGCCTGGTTTGTTTCTGTATTCAGCTTGATTAATCAGACCGGGCTAGATGAACTGTAAAGATGAGGACTCTGGTTGGACCGGGGATGCTGCTGCTGCTGCTGCTGCTTCTGTTGCAGAGCGTTTGGACTTTGGTCATTCCGCCAGAGAGTGAGTCGATAACCTGTGACTTCTGAATATTTTCCTTTCCTAAATCTGAACTGGTTTTTATTCCTCGGCCTGCAGTCAGACAACCACCCACGATCATCAAGCAGTCGATGATGGAGCATATTGTGGATCCCAAAGAAACAATGGTCATAGAGTGTGAAGCCAAAGGCACCCCCCATCCCATGTGAGACCTGCAGAAACAAATCTGTTACATCTAACATCCCTGCTGTCACTAAAATGATGTCTTTTCTGTCTTTGGCTCCACTGTGAAGCTTCTCATGGAGGCGCAATGGGAAGTATTTCAATGTGGCACGTGACTCCCAGGTATCGATGCGCAGGCGCTCAGGGACTCTAGACATCTATGCCCGGAACAATCCAGAACAGTATGAGGCAGAGTACCAGTGCATTGCCTCCAATGAGTATGGATCTGCATACACCCACAAGATCAGGCTACTGTTGTACAGTAAGTATAGGAGTGGGACGGCTGTAAAAAAAAGTGTCCTCTAAATAAACCAGGTGTGCACTGACCCCTGGTCCCATTACTTTGAGTGAAGTTTGTAATTTTCAGATATTCAAACCAGCCAGGCCCTAGGTGGAAAAACTGTTGGTCTTGTTGTCTAATCGTGGATTAACTGTGATAAACCAAGTCATGTGGAAAGCTGTCACCAGCCATACCCAGGCCTCACCAATACCGGACCTGTACAGCTAACCCGTCTGACAACATGAAGTAGGCTAAAATATCTCAACAATACAGCATAGCATGCCCCGTTCTAAAGAAAGAACCCAGAACATCTAAAAAAAACAGCAGGCCTGACTTGGTCAAGTTGTAGGACCACCCAAACCTGACGTGTTCGCTTTTAGAATTTCATTCAGAAAACTGTAAACAACCTTCTGCCGTGCAGATGTCATAATTCATCAATAAGTAAGAGACAGGGGCAGGGCAACATGGATGCATGTCCTTTTGTTCAGGAGCTCCTGTTTGGCCGCGGGAGATTCTGGAGCCGGTGGTGGTCAGTGCTGGCATGCCTCTGGTCCTGTCCTGTGACCCCCCACCAGGACCACCCAAACCAGAGACCTACTGGATGTCCAGTTGTAAGTGTCCGACACAAAGAACACTCTTGTTTTAAAGACTTTTTCAAATTATCCTTAACAAACTGATTTCATGTTATATTGATTATCAGGTTCCTATGCAAGACCTTTCAACTGGCCCATTCAGACAGCCTTCCCCACCATGCAGTCTGTGCAGCAGGACCGCAGAGTTTCCATGGGAGTCAATGGAGATCTGTATTTCTCCAACGTGCTGGTCAACGACTCCACTGCTGATTACTGCTGCAATGCTCGATTCCCCTACAAGAATATCATTCAGCAGAAGATGCCCGTGGTTGTAAAGGTGCTCACAAGTGAGTAACGGTGTTATGGTAGTCTCTGAACTGATATACACTGTAAAAAAAAAAAGTAGGTCCAACTTTAAAAATTGCTTCAGTCGATAACAAGCAATTTAATTAAGTTTATCCAACTTAAATTATTAGTACAATTTAAATAATTTAGGTTGGATTAACGTAATTAAATAGCTTGTTACCAATTGAAGCAATTCAATTAGGTTGATTAAACTATTCTCTTTTTTCAGTGTATGTACCTTTATTCCTTTTGGTATGAGGCTATGCAGCTGTTTTTCTGCGTTGGCAGTGTCAGCTCCACTTCAGCACAAACATTGGTTCAACAAAAATATATATGTTAACGTTTTCCACTAGAAATTTTAAGTTGAGCCAACTGCTGGCAGAATTACATTAATTCAAAGCTAATTTTTGAGTATGGTGAAGTAGTTTCTTGCTACAATGAAACACATTTTTAAATAACATGAACTCAATAATTGTCAACATGAACTCAAGTGTTTAAGTTTATCCAACATAATATTTTAAGTAGGGTGAAGTTGCTTTTTAGTCATTATGAAACACATTTATGGGGGGAAGACCTTGACTACCGTGTGGGAGGGCTCCTCTAAGGCAGTGCCCACCAACGAAGAAGTCAAGATGCTAAGACAGTTGGAGACTTTTGAGGATCAAACTTTGTTGAGATGTAGCTTTGTGAGGCAAGAAGCAGTTCATATCAAATTATTATAACACAATCTGAATAAGATGAAGATGTTGTGTGTGTGTTTCTCTTTGTGGGTGGCTGAGTGAAAACAGCTGACAGCAAGGAGATGACAAATACCTTTTGAAAAGTAGCTAGGAGTATTGTAAGAGGTATGAGGGCAATGTCAAAACCTGGAAACTGGACAGGAGCTAACGGACTATTTCCTGGTGCTGAAATAGAAATTCAGACAGTATCATTCAAATGACTTAGACCCATTTATTGACAGTAAAAAAAAGGGCAGATGAAGTTAATGAGAAAAATGGAGACCTGTGTGATTAGTTTCCTTTTGTTGTTTCAGCACGCACCGTGGCAGAGGCCGCCCCCACCTGGCTGTCCCCCAAAGGCTCCTCCAGCTCCATTGTGGCGCTACAAGGAGAAGAGCTGCTACTGGAGTGCATAGCTGCAGGAATGTGAGTTAAAACAAGTTTACAGTATGTTAGCCTTAATTCAACAACGCATTGATGAATTTCTACCATAGAGTGCCTTTTGAATTTGTTTTTGTCAGTCAATATGAAAGTGTCTACTTTGATGTGAAAATCACCCCTCCTCTTGTTGTTAAGGCCAGCTCCTCACATCACCTGGACAAAGGATGGAGACAACCTACCCATAACATCGCGGATAAAAGTAAAAAACTTTAACAAAATGATCCAGATTCCAAAAGCATCTTTCGAAGACGCAGGAGAATACAGCTGCACTGCTACCAACAAGATAGGCTACATCCAGCACACGATAACTGTCAGGGTCAAAGGTCAGACTTCCACCAACATATATATTATATTCTGTTTTTTTCAGTACATCCATGTTTTAAAACTAACCCAGTCCATTTTGAACAGCGGCACCTTTCTGGTTGGAAAAGCCTACAGATTTGATTTTGGCTCCGGAGGAAAGCGGACGGTTGGTGTGTCGTTCCGATGGGGCCCCTCGTCCCACAATCAGCTGGTTCATAAATGGAGAACCAATCGAAGGTAGGTTTCTGAGATATTATTGTACATTACAGTAAACCTAACTCTGTTCTCCAACCTGTGATGGTTTATTTTTTCTTCAGAAGCAAAACCGCAGCCTAACAGACAGGTTTCTGGAGAAACCATAACCTTTCGTAGCGTGTCAGCTGAGAACACGGCTGTCTACCAGTGCAACGCCTCCAACCAGCTCGGGTACCTAATGGCCAATGCATTTGTCAACGTGCTGCGTAAGTTAGTCATTTACGGTGAAAGATATGACTTTTGAGTGTCATAACAAGAATGTTGATGAAAAGTCTTCAATAAATTCAAAATGAGTTTGGGCCACAAGGGCAGTTGCCTTAGCCAGGGAGCCCAGGATGCCCTCTTCCTGACCACTTCTCCTGCCCCTACATTAACCCTCTGATGCATGAATTATGAAATCTTCAACCATGATTTTTTAAACATTTTTTTTCATTCATCTTTAGGTGTGAATGAAACAAATTTCAACAAATATTTTTGTAACATTTTGTTAATTTACAAATAATTTATTACATGTCCATCTCAGTGGACAGCGTGCATTCTGAACATGAAATATGTTGGCTTGACTTGCTGAAGCTCAAATGGAGGGGCTCACATGCAATAAAGTCTTCAACAGCTGTGCTTAATAGCAAAAATAAATAAATAACAATTTTGAGTACCTGTCCACTGTAGTGACCATTATGCATCAAAGGGTTAAGACACCAAAGCGTTCCCTGGTCAGCCTTGAGATACAATTCCTTGTTTAGCTTTGGAATTTCCTGCCTGGAGGAAATGCCCTAAAACACCAGAGGGTGTTCAGGTGGCATCACAACCAACTAGACTGTAGTTGAGTTGGAAGGGGAGCTTTTCCATCTCAGCTGTACTCTCTTAACTTGCAGTCTGAGGTGTCCCAGCTCCTCAGCTGAGGCTGAGCCCAACCAGCCTGAGGAGGAGATTCACTTCTGTCACCTGTATTTGGTTCTTTCATACCCACAAAGCTGAACAGGAGTTGTGTGGAAAAGAGCATGCATGCCGAAAAGTGCGTCCTCTGTTGTGGGAAGGTGCATTTGGCTCAACTTTGTGGGAAAATTGCACGATTGCTTTTTGAAACAGGCAATTGTTGGCTGGTTAGCTTAGCTTGGTTTATGGCTACTTTAGAGTAGGAACACTTCCACTTATATATGCTAACTGAGTGGAAAACCATCAGGAACTTACCGTCATTGCTGCAAGGGGAAGCACCCTCTGAAGAGCCGCTTGGACACCACCCATGATGGCATGTTCAATTTCTCATGCCTGGAGAAAGCTGACAGCCACGTCTGTCTCTCTTCAGTTTTAACTGGTCATTAGATCAGATCCTGGCAGAGAAAGAACTGACAACGCCATCAAAATAAGTAGCACTCGTAGTACTGTTGCTAAGATGCCCAATGAAACGCTGCACAGCCAGTGTCCAGCGTGACACCACATGAAGTGAAAGTGAGCACAATTGGCCAACCTTTGTTTCAGGCACAACCACACATGGTTAATTTGCATATAACAGAAATATTTTGCTCACATATTTAGATTTAACATTTAGGTTTATATTTAGATTTAACATGTACATTTAACTTTTACTTAAAATGTTACATTTAGACTTAACATTTAGATTAAATTTTACATTTTAAACTTAGCATTTACATTCAATATTTAGATTTAGAATTTAGATTTAACTTTTTCATTTAGATTTAACATTTATATTCAGCATTTACATTCAATATTTAGATTTAGAATTTAGATTTAGATTTAACTTTTTCATTTAGATTTAACATTTATATTCAGCATTTACATTCAATATTTAGATTTAGAATTTAGATTTAAATTTTTCATTTAGATTTAACATTTATATTCAGCATTTACATTCAATATTTAGATTTAGAATTTAGATTTAGATTTAACTTTTATATTTAGCATTCATATTTAGATTTAGATTTAACATTTACATTTTAGTTTAACATTTATGTTCAGCATTCATATTTAGGTTTAAATTTAGCATCTAGATTTAACATTTAGATATACGCTTAACACTTATATTTAGATTTAACATTTACGTTTAGATTTAAGATTAGCTGAAATAATGTGACATTTAAACATTTTTTTTAATTTGATAAAAGTTGCTAATTGTAGGAAAAATGAGTAAAATATATTAAAATTCTCAGCTTGATAATTTAACCAGCTATTTACACTTGGCATCCCATACACAATCGTTCTTACACGATTTTTTAAGCATCAAAAAACATTTATTACTGAAAGTGAACTTCAGAAATCAATGTTTGAGCATACAGAATAATTATAACAAAACTCGACAGCAGGAAAAAGCTTTTCTGAGTACATTTTTTATCGCTATGCCGAAACGTAACCTGAACCAAAAAAGAAAATGCAGTCATATGTTAATGATACTATCCTCTTCTTTAGATGCAACACCTCGTATTATCGGGGCCAGGAATGAACTCATCAAGGTGATCGAGGGAAGTCGCACCTTCCTAGACTGTCGCTACTTTGGCTCTCCGGTTCCTGAGTTACGATGGTAGGATCAGAACGTTACACAATTTAATGAACGGGATGATTTAAGTGAAAAGCGTCTAGGTTCTGTAGGTATGGTTCTGTGTAATCACAGGTCTAAATATGGGCAAGGGAATCTGGAGGGAAATCGTTTTAAGACCCACAGCAATGGGACCCTGGAGATCAAACGCATAAAGGTAGAAGACCAGGGAACTTACCTGTGTGTGATCAGCAACATCGCAGGAAGAGATGAGGATCAAGTCCGAGTAGAGGTCAAAGGTCATGATCACAGTCAAATGGGAATCGTTGGAGTTGGCAGCAAGTTATTTTAAAAGTCTAATGATCGAACCATCACCTGTTCCTCCCAGAGGCCATAACGATCGTCACCAGACCACAGAGTATGAAAGTCATGCGTGGAAGTGATGTTCGCCTGGAGTGCGGCGTAAAAGCAGACATCACTACTCCCTTGACAACAACATGGGTGAAAAACAGAAAGGACGTGACTTTTACTTGGAGGTTGGTGCTTTTGGGAAAACATTGAAAGGTTTGCAGGTAAACCTTTATTTAATAACAAACTAGAGTTGAGTATTTGAATGATTTAATCATTTCCTCAGAGTCTCTTTGGATGAGTCCAACCTGGTGATCACCGGTGTGAACAGAGATGATGAGGGAAATTACACGTGTGTTATCAAGAGTGAGCTGGAGCAGCAGTCTGCCTCGGCACACCTAATGGTGATGGGTAGGACCACGGTGATAAGAACCATTTTCCGTGAAATCCACTCCTCTTTGGTTTTCAATCTTTTTTTTTTACTTATTTTTGTGTCATGCAGACCGTCCAAGTCCTCCCACTGACCTGGAGTTGTCAGATCCTTATGAGCGGAGCGTACGGCTCACTTGGGTTCCTGGAGACAGCAACCACAGCCCCATAACAGGTTCAAGCTTTAAATTAAACAAACGTACACAAATGATGTGGTTTCAATGTCAGACTCTCCTGATATGTGTTTGTTGCATTCCCTTAGAGTATTTAGTGCAGTATGATGATGACGACTGGCTTCCGGGGAAGTGGAAAAACCTTTCGTCATACCCTGGAAACCTTAATTCAGTGGTTCTGCATCTCTCACCTTTCACCTACTACGAGTTCAGGGTCATCGCCATCAATGAAATAGGCGGGAGTCGCCCCAGCCGTCCATCTAAACGTTTCCAGAGCAGTGGTGCACGTGAGTGTTATGCTAATTGAACATGCTAATGTAAGATTGGTACAGATATTTTATCTTTCTGATTCTTTTGAGAAAAAAATCAGATTTTCTGTATAGTTAGGAGCTTTTCTCATCTTTGCCAAGTTAGCTTAGCTTTTTAGAAGAGAAAGAGTTTTCTTCCCATCATGCATCACTTCCTAAGATTGTTCTCAGTTGGGCGGTCTGTTGGAGGAGGAACTATTGATCAGGATTTGTGGTTTACCAGAGCTCACGTAAGCCTTCCTGCTTGTGCATCTGCTCACCGTGGATGAGCATCCATCATGTTCACCTAGAAAAGTGAACATCTTAGAGTGCACAAGAACTGAACCAGTTTTATACAAAGGCTTTTAAATGTGAACATATTTGTTTTACATTATGAGTAGACACGAATTAATGGCAGCCTGTTGTAAACATGCGTGCCTTGCGGCGTTGTTCTGTTTGTTGTGATCAGCCTGCATCAGGGCAAACATTTGTAACACTGCCCAGGCGACGCATGTACACTCCGTTTCTGCATCAGCCTGAAGCACAAGATCTTTTGGCGTTGTCACCAGCTGACGAGCAGAAACTCAAACTTTGTCAGGTTATTATTGTTATTCATTTTAATCGATGCAACAAAACCACAAGCTGTCATGTCTGCTGGGTATGGCCTTTAAGGCTTTGAATAAAATATAACTGTGTGTGTGTGTGAGTGTTTTCCAGAATCAGTATAAACTCGACTGACCCCTTTAGAAGATTACCAACGCTACTTTAAGAGACTGTTTCAGGATTTGCCATGCTGAGACCTGTGCTCTACTTTTTTATTTCCTTTAGGTATTTGATATCAGAAAGACCTCCCAAGCAAAGGCATTGGTTTTGAACAGTTAGTTGCTCAAAATTATTACATTTAAATACAAAATATATATTTTTTAAATGAAAATAAATGACAACAGATCTGAGATTAATAAAGAAGGATTGTATTGAAGGAAGCCACTGTCCACAGGAGTGAGTGACCATCTCTGGTTTGCGTGTAATAATTCGATTTTCCAACACAGCTCCGGATGTCATCCCAAAGAATGTGAAAGGTGTTGGTACATGGAGAAATAACATGGAAATAAGCTGGGAGGTAATCACAACTTTTAACGTCTCAAATCAAACACTTTCTGTAACCAACTTATACGTGTTACTGGTGTGTTTTCAGCCCCTGACCTACAGAGAGTGGAATGGACCACACCTAAAATATCTGGTATGGTGGAGAAGGAGAGATTCCCGGGAAGAGTGGAAGAATGCAACCACAAAGTGGCTGAAATATTACATCTATGATGCAGATACCTTTACTCCTTATGAGATCAAAGTCCAGGCTGTTAATGAGTTTGGGCTGGGGCCGGAGTCTCCTGTGGTCATCGGTTATTCTGGTGAAGACCGTAAGTGTGTTCGTGTTTAAATGTGAGACTGGAGAGAAATTTGAAAGGAAACAAACAAAAAGTGGAGTTTATAAAGAGATCAGGAGCACTTTTGCTAAGACTGGATTCCAGGTGGAGGAGAAAATCTGTTCCTCAGAACTTCTTTCTTTTATCCATTTTGTGATAAAACAATGTGAAAGCATGTAGGACAAGCCCTCTACTGACCAACCCGCCTCTTCATTTGTAAAAGCCATTTGAGACGATGCAGCAGAGTAGATTAATCCAAACACTTTTAGGTTCATCATTGACTTCATTGTTAAATCATCTCAGATGACCAACCCACTCACCATCCCAGACACAACCCTCTACTTCAGTCTTTTAGTGTTGTTTGTACTACATTTTGCTCCTACAGTACACTGATTGCTTTGTTTTCACTGATAAGACATTGTAACCATTTCTGTCTGTTCAAAGGTCCACTTGCTGCACCCTTGAACCTGAGAGTGTCTGACATCGAGAGCACTCAGGTTACCATACACTGGGACACAGTGGCACGTGAATCCATTATGGGAGAGCTGAAAGAATACAAGGTGTGTATAGTTAATATTCAACTCATCATAATGCATGTTAACAGAGGAGCTGAGACACCTCACTGGGATAGTCAGCTGGTGATAGTAACTAATTTGTCTCATGCATGCTTCATGGGAGTTTATTGATGAGTCTGCATGTGTTTTTGGACCTAGAGAAGGCTTGCGATGGCCAAGAAGGATGTTGGGGGACATGCTGATGAGAGACTGGGCTGACAGGGTTGTAATGAAAGTAGCAGTGGGCAGCACGGGCAGAATATCTGGCCCTCCAGTCAGAACCCGAAAACACCACCAGTAGGCAACGACTTATAAAAAGATGCGCTTCATTGCACAGTCGATGCTAAAACCCAATAACAGAACACAATGATAAAACACTATAATAAAACATGATGGCCAAAGTCTTCACTCCTAAAATCAGCTGTCCAGCATGAATAAACAAGCAGCGGTACTTAGCTGTCACGGATGGTGTGACCCCCCTCCCCGGGGTCTGAGCTTCCAACGCCGTCCAACACCCCGGGGTGTAGCTTGCGAGGACGGTGGGTAAATCCACAACGTAAGTCCACTGCCAGAGTCCGTAGCGGCAGATCTCGTCATGGTCTTGGCATCCACTATGCCCAGCCCTCGCTTTATAAAGAAGACGACAAGCCTTCCCTCCTGACGCTGGAACGCTAAACACCTGTTTAACTGTCTTCGTCGCCGGCAGCCCTAACCGACTGCAAATGACCCCACCCCCAAAGTCCGATGCCACAATGACAGGTCAACCACGCACACCTCTCAGTAGACCTGTCACCTTTTTATCCTCCCTGGCCTTAACGAGGACCAGCTGGTGTCCAATCACCACACCCTCAGAGCCCGGCAGCTTCCGTCTTCTGTCCATCACAGGGTCATATTAGTGGGCTAGGACCAAATTCCACCATTGGTCCCAGTCTCTATGTCCCGTCATTAAAATTAGCAGTCGTGGACCACCAACTTTAGATTCTGCACTGGTTTGTGGCATTGCTACTAAAGTTTGAACTACAGTGCAGATCAGGGACACGAATCCCTAGTTCTATGCACACGTTTGTTATGTGAGTGCTGGAGAAGCTCAGCCACTCAGAAATGTTGAAAGCTCTGCTGCTGTTCTAGGCCATTCTTAAAACTCTATTTTCCAACCCGGGCTGTTCTTTGAGGGAACATTTGTAGCCCAGCAATTGTTTTACCGCGGGACCTCTACTGGAAAGACACACAGGCAAAGAAGGACCTCGCACAACCCTGGTTCTTGTCACAGTTCACATCTGTGGTCCATGAGCAGCATCTCAAGGTGAAGTCATGGAGCTCAGGGGTCCAGTTTGGGAACTTTAGAGTTGCAAAGGTTCCCAAAACACCCATCCATCCATCCATCCATCCATTTTCCGAACTCGCTTGTCCATGTAGGGTTGCGGGGCAGCTGGTGCCTATCTCCAGGGATCAATGTGCACCCTGGACAGAGAGCCAGTGGTTCCCAAATCACCTTAAATAAAAGGACAGATGATCTAACTACTTGTAGGTTTGTTTGTAAAATGTTTGACAAAATCCAGGATTTGAATTACAGAGGTAATCGGATGGGATAATCCCCCTTCCCTGTACCTACGGCAATGTCACGGGGCTCCCCCGGAGGCCTGTGTGTAATCTGAGCCCTGACAAAAACCATACACTTTAACCCTCTGGAGGCAGACATTGCAGATGTGCAACGTTAAAACCCACCTACCTGGTTACTCCACGTATTTCATGAGCATTTTTTAACTTAGAAGTACCCCTGAAGGACTTAGTTGTCCGTCCTGTTATCAAAACTTATTTAAAGCCTGAGAGGGTTAATAATAAATAGCCTTGACTAATTTGCATTTAGTATCAGAAAATGTGTCATGGTAGTAGCCTTATAGGACAGTGTTTTTGACAGTGATTTTTACTACGCTAATATAAAGACATGTCAAGCAGAAGATCCTGGGACTGAGTCCATGTCCAGCAGCAGTAAGACAGTCATTTGATACAACTGAGCTTATCAGATACACAGGAGTACCAGCCTCTGTTTGAGCTAGAGAGCTGGATGAGAGAGCATGGTGGCTTCGCTGCACACATCCAGCTGTCTGGTTCAGTACAAAAATTACATGTTGTAACAAGTTGCTAGTTGCATTCAGGTGTTCTTATGTGACGACTTGAATCTTGTTGGTTAATGTGACAAGTGTGTTTCTCGTTATTGCAGGTTTATTACTGGAGGGACAGCAGTCAGCTAAGGTGGCTGAGGGTTAATAGAGGGCTCAAGTCTAAAGTCTTTCCAGAAAATGATCCAGAACCCTCAGGGGTTATCACTGGACTCATCCCCTACAGCAACTACAAGATGTACATAGTGGTAGCAAACAGCCGGTATGAAGGACCACAAAGTAATCACATATACTTCTCAACACCTGAGGGAGGTAAGAAAGTTACTAACGTGTCAAACAACCTTGTAATTTTAGACATTACCTTCTATAACTGGACGTATACCTGGTTATTTACCTGTTTGTCCTCAGTACCATCAGCTCCAAAGTCCTTCAGAATACAACAACGACATCTGGACAGCATTTATGTGGACTGGGAGCTGCCAGAAGAGCCCAATGGTATCATCACTGGATACACTCTCAAGTACCAGACTGGTATGTGGATACTCCATAAACAAAGTCCAGTAGAGTCAGACAAACAGGATGTCAGTCACCAACAGTAGCTCCACAGATGTAATGGGCCACTTCCCAGGATTGAGGCAATAGTATTCTGGTATGTGTACTCCGAAGTCTGATTACCACAGAAACAACCATTTGAGAGGGTACTTCACCATTCTGTAGCTTCTGTAGGAGTGTGCAGGGTACTTATCGGTTCAGTCTCCCAGCCTGAAGCGCTCTACCAGTGCAGTGAAACCTCCAACCTCTCCACAGTGAATGCAACCAGAGGAGAAGAGCTGAAAACCGAAGATTTTCCTCCCAATGTGACGAGTTTCTCAATCCGGCGATTCGACCGCTACACCCGTTATCGATTCTCTGTGGTGGCACATACTCGGATCGGAATGGGGGAATGGCACACGGAGGAGTCTCCTCACTACACCACAGAAAGTAATCTGTTACAAACACAGTGGGTGGTCGACTGAAGGGTTGTTGGCTTTAATGCTGTGTGCTTTGTGTGTCTCAGTATACGCCCAAGACCAGGTGGACATTTCCACTCAGGGTTGGTTCATTGGGATTATGTGTGCCGTCGCTCTTATCGTCCTCATCCTACTCGTAGTCTGTTTCATCAAGAGGAGCCGAGGGGGCAAGTATCCAGGTACCCTGAGTGACTTCTGATCAGTGCTGCAGCTTATTGATAGACGGATACTTTGACTGGTTATTTTATCAGCTTGTTTTTTTAGTTTTAGAAGTACTGCAAGAAAAATACCACAGACTATTTGGTCATATACTGTATACTCTAGTTTTAATGTTGTGTGATCATTTTCTTTTGACTTAAAGCCATTGAAATAATAGATTAGTCAAAGATTAGGCCAAACAATGTCCTAACTAGGCTTCCAGCTCTGTAACCGTAAGGACCTGTAGGTATGCTTTAACAGCAGGGCTTGATTTGTTTCAGTACGGGACAAAAAGGACATTTCACTGGAGCCGGTGGATGACAAAGATCAAGAGGGATCTTTTGATTATCGGTAAGTTTTACAGATAACGTAAAATGATTTTAAAATGCACTTCTTCTTTCTGAGGGAGTTTATTACTCTAAAACTGTTCTAATGAGTGTGCAAAGCATAAAATTGTTTTTGTTAAAACGATTTTTAATGATACTCAGCTACAAATAAACTCTAATTTTTAAACTAACAGATTATGACATTATTGGTGCAGACTATTCAGGTAGTAGCTGTTCCCATCTATTTGCTGTGTCTGTGAATCATAATTCATCCAACCACATTAAACTGGATTAGTAAAGCCAGTGTATGCTATTGTAAAACCTACACCAGATGGATTTTAGCGCCAACATGTGTTTGGCACGATAATACCAGACTGTAGAAAACACAGACCTCACCTAATTTTGGTCATATTAAAGTACATTAAAAAAATAATTACCACCATACCGTTTGAGAGGGCTTCCTAAATGGTCTTTGTTTGTGAAAAGTACTGTTTGGCAGGCAGGATGAGCCAGTCGCTAGTCCCAGGTCAGCAAAGAGTGTCATCCGACACTTTTCATGTCATAACCGTTCACACTGCAGATACATACATGGAAATCTCTGGTTATTTGCATGTGTAAATATCACAGGCTGCAGCAAACTGGTAGCGCTTCTAGTGCTAGATGTATAACGGTCTAAACGGGGTCTATGAAGTCAAATAGCAGCAAATGTTAAAGAACATTATTGTGCAATGGTTAGTGCAGGGGTGGGCAATCCCAGTCCTCGAGGGCCGCTGTCCAGCAGGTTTTACTTGTTTCTCTGCTTAAACACACGTGGTTTGAATCTACTAGTGATTAACAGGCTGCTGCAGAGCCTGATGAGCTGCTGAACAGGTGATTCATCCCGGAATCAGGTGTGTTGGGGCAGGTAAACAACTAAAACCTGCTGGATAGCAGCCCTCGAGGACCAGGATTGCCCACCCCTGGGTTAGTGTGTGTTTCATAAAACCGACGATTGTGTGATCGTACTAGCACAAAGACAGACTTATAGACCAATGTGGTCTTCTGGAGGCTCATGACATCACCGGGTTACACAGATTCTAGCTCAGTGTAGAACAGGACCAAACCAGATCTTAGCTTGTTAACACATTTGATCAAACTCTAAACAATTTCCTTTTTTTCTTTCTAAACTTCCCTTTTACAAAACCCCAACCCTGTTCTGTTTGAACTCAACCACCCAAGGTCCCTTGAAAGGTAAGACAAGACAACATTTTGTCACTGTTGACAGTTTAGCTGCAAATCCTTTAAGAATGCTACAGATTCTCTTCCGCAGCAAACAACACAATTTGTAATCAATGATTTCATTCCTACCTTTTGGAAATTGCTATTTCATTTTTCTCATGTTGTTGCTAATTTAAATGTGTTCATACTTTAGGATCGCACGTCTCCCCACTCTGCCCTATCCTCGGAGGTACGTACACTCATCCATTAAACAACTTATTGTCCAAAAGAAGAGGAAATCATTCTTTTTCCAAAAAGCAAAACACTTTCTTGGCATTACACATTTTTCTTGTTTTATAGAGAAGACGAAAAGGGGATTCAAAGAGCTCAGCCGTCTGTGGAAGCAATGATGAAGCGATCGTACAGCGATGACAGTCTGGTGGAATATGGAGACGGAGGTGAAATACCTTTCAACGAGGACGGTTCATTCATTGGCCAGTACACAGGAACCAGGAGAGACGTCAGGGAGCTGGACTTTGGTGGAGGTCTAGAGCTCCACTCACCAATGAATACTATCTATTCCCTGGCATGAAGCTATAATTTCTAAGACTTTCCTCTCCACGTCCCAGCTGTTGCCCTGTGACTTTATGACGCTTGAACTCTGACTTGTGGATCCAGAGGAAAGTCTGCTTGTGTTTCTGGGAGGAAACAGCTGGAGACTGAGCTGCTATGGAACCATTTTTCATTCAGACTTCTCATATTTTATAAATCTGAGAAACTCTTTAAAAAACAAACTTGAGATCATCATTTTGTGGATGTGTTCAAAAAACTTCCAGGGGAGAGGGAGATTCTTCTTGTTTTGTACATAATGTTGATAGATTCTATCTTTGCATGAGCTGAACTATCCAGATCGTCACACGAGACTGGAGCTCTATCATGTTACTCTCATACTTGCATATTTTCCCTTCAGTTATTCCAATGAGGAGATCCGTTATTTTTGAACATTTGCTCCATGACTTATTCGTTGCATACCACAGCTAAAAAACCAATCATCATGAAACTGAATATGGTCATGGATGGCTATCGTGTTCTCTGATAAACGACGGTACCTTGGAGGAGGAACAGGAAGTGAAACTCGTTGGAAAATAAGCGTGAGGTGAAAATTTAGCTTTTTTCCCCCCTGTGTCCTGTCCAGCTGTAAAGCAATCAGAATTGATGGCTGAGTGCTAAAAGCAAGTCCTACAGTTTTACTCTCACAGGTGGAGCTTCAGCTACAGTGCCCCACCTCATATAATAACTTTATTACAAATGCTTTTGAGAGTTTGAAATGAAAGAGAAAGGGGGAGAGGAAAGAAAGGTGGGTGTGTGTGTGTGTGTGGGGGGGGGGAGACCTGCAGAAAGAGAGGGGGAAAAAAAGACCCAAAAAACATCAGAACCAAGATATCACTGTGCCAAAAAGCATAAGGATACATAACAGCAAACTTTTTTACTGAAAAGCACACAGAAAGTATTAATTCATGGTGTCTTTAGTGCCAACCAGTAAGTAAGTCCATACTTGTGAGAACACCATGTGAACAACTGTGTGTTGATATAATTGCAAGCCCCTAGGCCCCGACCGTAGCCACTCACTCCAGGGCAGGCCGAGGTTGGACCACAGTGGTCAGAGACCCAACAGAGCCCAAGGGCTCAGGCTCCACCAGACAGCTACCTGGAGCGAGCCGGCAGATGCCACAACACCCAGCCCCAGACTCAAGACAGATAGACCTGTCAGATAGACAGCCACACACAAACACAGTCACACACTTCCACCCTCATGCTCAAACTTGAACACATCCGACCTAAAGACAAACAAGAATGCCCATCTTGCACCCACTCACACTCCCCATTCACACTACACACTCTGGTCCAGGTACTGCTGCAGAGAGGGCTCCACCATTCCTGGACCCAGCAACACACCACCCCAGACCCCAACTAGTTGGCCAGCTCCCACTCCTAGCCTCCAGCCCTGGGCAGCAAACTGAGAACAGAGACGTGCGAAGGTCCCTAGTCTCTCTCCTTCTCCAGTGTGGTGTTGATGCATGTTGTTATAGAGTGCATTTAAAACAGGTGGGGAGATGGGGCAGTGAAGACACCCTCCAGCCTACACCAGCTGGTATCAGCATACAACCCTGTCTCCCCCCCAAAACCCTCAGTGTCTAGATGCAGCTTAAATTGGAAGTGGGCACCGGCACCAACGGCAAAGTGGGTGAACAGATCCCCTACTTCCAGGTGTCTTTGAGTGTGCTCACCCCCAAGGCCCTAAGTGTGCATTTGTGTGGAATGCCATTGGTAGAAGTGTTAGTATTGCAAAATAAATTTGGGACACAGGCCACCATGGGACTGCAGAAATGGGAAAAAATTCCCACATCCCCTGAACATTTTGCTTTAAAGTCAAAAGTATCTCATGAGCCAGTTTCCTGATTTACTCACTCTGGCAATTACTAATCCAAGTTTAATAGTGTTGACTACTAACATCAGCAGTGTTTGGAGACAAGATCTTCTTGGATAAAACTTACATTTTTCATGCTTCATGATAGGCTGATTGTTTTCTTGATGGCGTTGTGTACATTAGTGTCAAGGGTCTCATCCTACTCCAAAAGCCACAAAACTTTCCAAGAATCCTGACCCAAATCAGCTAGAAAAATCATCACTGAACTCTGGCCAGTTTGCTGTGTGAAACCATCACACACTGATAGAGCTAAGGTAAAGAGTGCATCTTATCTATAGATAGAGAAATCTATATGACACGGTTGTAACTGACATCATTGGACGTTTTGTTACATTCCATTCAGCTTTTATCATTTTACCTGTTTGACTACGGAAATGACTGACTGGGTCATTAAGAAAAGATTAGCATAGCACCTTTGTTTAATCTGGTTTTGTTATGAGATTATAACCTAGTTTTCATTAAGCAGAAAGTAAGTGAAGTTTTCATTACAGGGTAAAAAAAATATATAGTACATAAAATGATTTAAGAAGTATCTTTAACAGCAATAAACTTCTGTCCAATACCAGACCATTTGATTTGTAAAGCACCTTCAACGAAGTAGAACAAAGTGCCGTCCATTAAAACCACTCAAAACAAGTTTGTGTGTATACAAAACTACTACAAGCCACATTATACTATAGGTATTTGTACATATGTAATTGTTTTCTCTCATCATTGTGGATGACCGTAGCTCATCCTTCTGTACAGTGTCAATGCATTTCATTGAGGCGTGTTTGTCACTGTGCCGTCAGATGGTCACGCTACATCATGTTAATCTGGGTCACATCTGAACTTTGCAACACCTTCAAGTTTTATCCCCCTTTCAGCCATTCTGGCCTAGGTTGTTTTTGCGAAACTTGAACACGCTATCAGTTTCTGACTAATTTAGCCACAAGGCAAGTGGCCTCACATTTGACCTTGGTACCCCGTCTCTGTGGCTGGAAGCTAGTAGGAGGTTCAGGTGCGCCATGTTTGGTTAACACCTGCAACTAATAATTATGCTGAAACATCTCCATTTTGTTTTTTTGGTCTCTGTGAGAATCACGAATTCTAGGATTAATCATGTTACCTAAGATCTGTTAGCTATTACAGGTTCTCTGGTATCCGTCCCAAATACAGATCACTTACTCATGTGTTTCTTACTGGCAATACCTGGCAGCTACTGAGACCTTATGGGGCGTTTACATCTGGGTGGGCCTGGTCTATCCCCGGTAGGTTAACTGTGTTCACATTTGGGTAATCAATGTTTTCTGTATTTTTTCTGGACCTGATCTCCTGCAGTCCGCTTCGTGCAAAGCCGACCTAAGTACACCCACTACCGGTCTGGTTGACCAGCTCTAGGTCACGCCAACTTACTAGAGGGAGACTAACTGGTGGGTAGAATCAGCCAGCAGCAGGTTCTCACATGCATGATCCATTATGAGTCTGCATTGGGGTAAACATCGCTCACTGCTGGTCAGAACCTCTGCTCCAGCCGCTGCAGCACAAGGACAGATTTCTTTGAGGAGCATGCAGCAGTCTCAATGAGAGAAGGAAGCTGTGGGCTTCATGTCAGAGTCTCCAAAAGCAACACAGCTCATGGCTGCCTTTGTTTACTAACTTAATGTGGCATGGTGGAGAAACGAGGGCTCGGGCGGGATTTGATCCCCAGGCTCCCAGGTGAGAGTCATGCGCGCTAACCAGTCAGCCAAAGGGACATCCCCTTGGCCAAGTAGCTAGGGCGCATGATCAATTGGGATAGAGTGACACTCACCCTGTCACATTAAGGAGGACAACACAGGCTTTTCCACACACTTTTTGCTCGGGCCACATACTCAGACAACACATTCTCACACTCAAAGCATCGAAAACTGACGATGAGTGACCAAGCATTTGTTTTCAATGCGTTGGGAGCCCTAAGACATCGGGAGGCGACTCGCTTTGCCAGAGCGTCGATTTCCAACCTCCGCGGTAAAATAAAGACTTCACCAAAATATGACCTTTACCCTCTTGCTATTTAACATTCCCCTCAACCCCTGACATGGTTTGGGGAATGTGTTTAACCCAAGACATGCAGAATCACACACTCACATATCTTATGGTAAAAAAAAAAGAATCTTTATTTTAAAACGGGAACTGAAGATGCACTGGAAAAGCCCAGTGGAGATCGAGAACAGGAGCGCAGCGTCTGATGAGGGGAGAGCAGATACAGGTTAGTCCAGGAAGGTAAGTCTAAACTTGGTGGGTGCAGAGAATAGACTTACTGGGAGTAGGGGAGCGTAAGAATGAGGGAGGGTAGGTTGGGTGCCGGGGTGAATCCAAGTGGGGGTGTCAGAAATCTGTCAGACAGGTAGGATTTAAACCAGCCTAACGCTGTTCCTTTGATCCCTAGAATATGTTCAAGCCTTTCTACAAGAACATTGTGATCTACTGTGTCAAAAGCAGCACTGAAATCTAACAAGACTAGAACAGACACAAGATTCTTATCTGAAGCCACAAGAATATCACTTGTAACTCTCACTAATGCAGTTTCAGTGCTGTGATACTCTCTAAAACCAGACTGAAATTCCTCAAACAGATCATTAGTGTTTAAATGCTCACATACTTGGATGGCCACTATTTTCTCCAGGACTTTGGATTAAAATGGAAGGTTAGATATTGGTCTATAATTCATTGAGTCATCTGGATCCAGAGAAGGCTTCTTAAGTGAAGGGTTGATTACAGCAACCTTAAAATCCTGTGGTAAATATCCATTTACTAAGGATAGACTGATTATATCTAGAATGGGGCAGTAACCAAAGGAAATGCATCTTTAAATAATTTGGTTGGGATTGGATCTAAAATGCAAGTTGAAGGTTTAGATGAAGCTAATATTTTTGATAACCCTGAAAGCTAACTGGATCAAAACGGTTCAAACACAGATGAGGTTCTGCAGTTACCTCTGATGCTGCCTCACTTACTGAGGAAGAAGAAATCGCATTAGGGAGGATGCTAAAGATTTTGTTTCTAATAGAATTAATTTTACTTGTTAAAAATCCCATAAAGTCATTGCTGCTGAGGGCTAAGGGAATAAATGGCTCAGAGATATGATTCTGTGTAAGTTTGTCAACTGTACTGAAAAGAAATTTAGGATTATTCTTATTCTCCTCAATTAACGCTGAGAAATAAGCAGTTCTAGTTTGTCGAAGCTTATTTTTATAAAGCACAAGACTATTTTTCCAGAATAGGTAGGCCTCCTCATGGTGCGTAGAGCGCCATGTTCTCTCCAATTTTCTAGAGTTTTGTTTTAAGGCTCGTAAATGAGAATTAAACCAGGGAGCCAACTTCCAATCCCTAATTACCTTCTTTTTTAAAGGGGCAACATCATCTAATGCCACACGTAAAGAGGAAGTAACAATATGAACTAAGGCATCAATTTGTGAGGGGTTAGAACTGAAAATATTGCCCTCTGCTACATGCCTCTGAGATGCTGAGGACAGGAAAGATGGAACAGTTGATTTAAAAGATGCAACTGCGTTGTCAGATAGAGACCGATTATAGTGAAATTTACTTTCATGTCTCGAAAACTCAGTTATAAAAAACTCAAAGGTTATCAGAAAGTGGTCCGAGAGGACTGGATTATGTGAAAAGATTGTTATTTCCTCACACTTTATGCCATAAGTCAGCACAAGGTCCAATGTATGATGGCACGAGTGGGTGGAGCTATGTATTCTTTGAGTAAAACCAATTGAGTCTAAGATATTACTAAAGGCTACATTGAGGCTATCATTTTCAATGTCCACATGAATGTTAAAATCCCCCACTATAATGACCTTATCAGTATTTAGCACCAAATCTGATAAAAAATCAGAGATCTGATCCAAAAACTCAGAGTAAGGGCCTGGTGGACGATATAAAACTACAAACAAGAGTGGTTTTACAGTTTTGCAATCTGGTTTAGGAAAATTAAGAATAAGATGTTCGAACGAACTGTAGCTATTAATTGGTAAGGGATTGATTAATAAGTCCGAATGAAAAATGGTTGCCACTCCTCCTCCTTGCCCTGTACTTCGAGCAATATGGTGATATAAATAATTTGAAGGAGTAGACTCGTTTAAGCTAACATAGTCCTCTTGCTGCAGCCAGGATTCTGTGAGAGTGAGCAAAGAGATCTGATTATCACAAATCAAGTCATTAACTAACAAAGTCTTAGAAAAAATGGATCTAATGTTCAACAACCCACATTTAATTTTTCTTGTTTTCTGCTCAGTTGAATCAGTTCTCATATTTATGAGATTTCCATGATTTGCTTCATTAAGCCTGATATTTAATCTGTGTGATTTGGGCCGTAGGCAGGACAAAGTAAAGAATTTGCCCTGTTTGCAGTTCTCACAGCACATATCTATAGACAGCAGGCAAACCACTAGAACAGGACAGGAATCTTTGCCCTAGGCTCGCTTTCTGAAGATCTTTATACACATTTTACCAACATAGCTTCAAATGCATGACTAACTAATACACACATCTCCGCATCAGGCTCAGGGAGAATGAGGTTCAGCTGTTGTTGGAGACAAAATACGAATGGCTTGTTTCCTGTTACTAACTGAAATTGACGTAGTTGTGATTTTGCAATAAATGTTTAACATGTAAGCATGCATGACCTAAGCAATATGATTTTGTTAACCTCTAATATTTTAGGGATTATTTTAGAAGCTGAAAACTCACCGTTCAAGCTGGCGTTTGTATGACCTTCATCACCACCTCCTTATTCTGCTCTCCCTACTTATTCCGTAGGATCTGCTGATTTCCCTCTTTCCTATTCACTCTCTCTCTCTTGCTTTACATTTGTGATCACAATTTTCTATTTCTGCTCATTTTAAACATATTTTAATCATTTTCTAAAATATTTGTTTCATATTTTAAATTATTAGTTTCTGTGAAGCGCCTCGTAATTTTGATCTTGAGAGGCGCTATAGAAAATATAATTTTCTTTCTTTCTTTAGTTTTTCTTTTTCTTTTATGAGAGGGGGAAACAGCACATATCAGTACTGGTTTATATCGGTATCAGAAACTAAGAGTCAACCATTTCAGTATAGCGGATATCAATAAAAAGCCAATATCGAGCATCCCTAATTTAAAGGTGTTGATCCTCATACCAATCACTTCAACAAGGGTGCGAACCTCCTCAGCAAGGTATGAGGAAAAAGTGAAAGGTGTATTTTGGACATCTCATTAATCTGGTATCCAGTTTCACCACTGAGAAGGCAGGACCTACTTACCTCGGGAAACGTCAGACCATTATATTTACAGAGGTTGTTGAGGTAATGAAAAAGCACCCTGGTAGAAGGACACCAGAAATGGATCTGGCCTTGAATTCTTAAGGGTTTGAATGTTGAGAGGATTTTTTGTATGACACACCTCATCAATCTTAAATCAAGGGTAAAACATGGCATGTGGACATCACAGCAAACTGTCTCAGACATCAAACCATAGAGATGGATCAGCTTCATTCAAAAACCCATCAGACTTCTGCCCAAAGGGTGTCAGAAAAAAGGTCTCAGGAAAACGGCATCAGAAAAAGGAACTGAGACCAGTTGCTGTTATGGCTGACAAAGTTTCAGTGAGACCTGAAGATGTCCCAAAATGTTCAGCAAACAATAGATAAAAAAGGAAGTCCTGTTCAATTGTTCCAGCTATTGGGGAGGACTGAAGAATTTCTGAATGGATTCATGGGATTTTGATTGTCTGTAGACCAGATAAGGCTGCATGTGTACAAGAAGGATACTGTGGGATGTGTTGTGGGAAAGGGTGTGCCAAAGTCCCTTTTGTAGGGGGTCAGGTGCTTGTAAAACCACAACAAGAGAAGTCTAACTTGTTTAAACTCTGCATGTCTTTACTAGCTCTGTTTGTGGTGTTTAATGGACAGGATCTTAAAGAGCAAGTCACCCCTACGAGAGTCTAAAGCTGGACGGACACTGTGCGACTTTTTCACTCATAGCACTCAGCTTCAGCTCAAACTGTACGACTTCCTCGCAAGGCAGATCTCACGAGTCATGTGCTCACACTGCACGTCTGGTAGCAACACGTCGGCCCTAAAAATATGCTAAAAATAGCAGTTTTTACACAACACGTCAGACTTTTTGGTCTTGTTTTGCCTGTTGTCCTTCAGAGTGCTGCAGGAGGACACACAGGGATTTATGGGGTTGGATGAGGAAAACGAAATAAAGAAAGTAAACCTGTGTTTTGTGATCAGTTTAATTTGACATGAACACGACAAACACGCTTTCTTGACAATCTTTGTGAGTAAAAAAAAACGTCTAGAAACAAAAACGAACAAAGTGTGTTATTAGGGTAATAGCAGGCAAGCGGTGTTGATGAATGATTGCACATGCGCCGTGAGCGGTTCTGATACTTTTTGGGTCGCAGCTGCTCACAGCGCCGCTTCAACAGTGCGATACCCTCACGAGGGACAAGCAAAATATCAAACACGCCAGAAGTTTGTGCGAGCTCACGATTGCTGATCGGTAGCAGGTCACGTGGTATTAATCACTTCTCGTAACCCCCTGTACACTACACGACGCTCAGTGCAAAACTCGCCCCGATCTCGTGGATTCTCGCACGAGTGGAAAATCGGCTCAAAAAAGTGAAAAAGTTGCACAGCGTACACCCGGCTTAACTCCACTCCCATTTCCTGTAAGAAAAAAGTGCCACAAGGCGGCACTGCCTGGCATTTCAAGAGGGTGGCGCCGCTAACCTTTCACACACGCACACAGGCTCACAGCAGCATTGTGACATCATTTGGTACCAGTTAATGTCATAGGGTACCTCTTAGCCAATGGCAATGGCAGATTTAAATTCAAATGTTGTGCAGAGTTGTTACCTGAAGAGGATGCAACACTGAAGGTTTTAGGCAGAATGTTTCAATTTTAGCTAATCTGGCACTTTAGGGTATCCTAAAGTGCCAGATTATTGACTGCACGTGTCTACGGCACGATGTTCATTTACATAGTTTATCAGCAAAAAAAGTTGATTTGGGGTGACTTGCTCTTTAAGGGGTAGCTTACACAAAAATGGAATGGTGTCTGGTTAAATAACGTCAGCATCACAACTTTCTGTGTTCATTTCTGCTCCATTTTTATGACGTCACCTATAGATAGAAGATTTGGATGTAGACTGAAAGAACAAGATCCAAAACACAAATGGCTCTAATAAGATTCCTGCTTGTTGTAGCTGGCCTCGGCCGTGGAGATCAGAAGAGGAGCTAAATCTGGAATAATTTCCCAGGAATGGTGCAGAATTCACTAGAAGGTTTGTTTATTTACTGTGGCTTGGGAATGCATTTGGGATCTCTCAAAAGGGGTTGGAGAGTCTCCATGGGGAGAGGGATGTTTGGGATGTCCTAGACCTGGTTTCTTCCCAACATACCACATGAGTGTATTTGTTGTAAGTTGTGTACTATGAAATTACCATGGAAATCTACTTTATCCTGATGTTCATTGTTTTATCAGTTGGTCTTATCAGCACAAGAGGGTTTGCTGTCCTGGTCTGAGTGAATTAGAGGCAAGTTTACACAACCTCGTCCTCTGACCAACATTTATCGGGTAATAAAAGGAGAAAAGAAGGAAAACCATCAGCTTGTTGCAGCCAGCTGTGATTAAAGAGATAACACCAATCATCCTGGAGCCTGAAGCCTCCGCTGGAATGCAGCCTTTGCCCCTGTCCTCTGTTGGCTATAAAAGTGAACCCCCCTGGAGCGACCGGACTAACAGCAGACCACCTGAGGAAAGGTATTGTAGTCATTTTGCAGCTCACCTTAGAGAAAACTGAAGTTACCATGTAGACCTTTACAAGAGCTGTAGATTGGACCTTATAAACCTCTGATGTAATTCTGTATGACCGAGGACACAACCAATGTTTCTTTTACAGATTACTTTGACAAAAAGGCTCAACTACTTCAAGATGGCTCGACAGGCAATCTTGGCAGGTAGAACAAGTTTCCTGCATTTTTCATTTGTAAAATGGCTTTTTTGAAAGAACTAATAACACTATTTTACAGGGTTGTCTCTTCTGGTCAGCCTCCAGATTGGTAAGAGGTCATACTTTTCCTGCTTCTGAGATTTTCATCTGAATTCCAATTATTAAAATAACATGAAATACCTGGAATGAATGATTTCTTATTTTTCTCAGTTTCTTCCACCAAACTGGCATGCTACTTTACCAACTGGTCCCAGTATAGACCAGGTGCTGGTAAATATGTCCCTGAAAATGTGGATCCCAACCTCTGCACACACCTGATCTATGCCTTCTCAATAATTAGCTCGTCCAATGAGCTGACAACATATGAGTGGAATGATGATGTTCTTTATAAATCCTTCAATGGACTGAAAAACAAGTGAGTTGTTACTGTCTGAATGTTAGGACAATAACTCACAAAAACAACAGCAACACACCACATTAGCTTCATCTGATTAAAACGTCCTGTGTCCATCACAGAAACCCCCAGCTGAAGACTCTACTGGCTGTTGGAGGGTGGAACTTTGGAACAACTCAGTGAGTCCACCTTGTGGAAACGACTATATTGAGTCAAATAATTTCACAGTAAATAATAGCTTAATGACCAAAGTTTTACTTAAATGCCTACAGGTTCACCCTCATGGCTTCATCGCATGCCACCCGCCAGGTCTTCATCCAGTCTTCCATCAGGTTCTTGAGACAGCACGGCTTTGATGGGCTGGACCTGGATTGGGAATACCCTGGAGCACGAGGAAGCCCACCAGAGGACAAGAAAAAGTTCACTTTGCTCTGCCAGGTAAGTTTCATTTCTGATACATACAATTAGAGGCATTTTTCAGCTACTGTTTATATAGGTATTGCATTTTATTTTGAAATTGTACATTAATGCATTAACACTATAAATAAGTTCAAAGTTGTTTGCCGCCTCCAGAACTTAGATCTTCTAGCAGAGAACATGTGTACAGCAGGCATGTCCCAAGTGCAGCCAACTGCATTTCTAGAATGACGAGTTTTATCGCTCCAGCAAATAGACTAAATGTTTCTATTTCTAGTTTGGATTCTCACCAATATACATTTTTGACCCTTTTTGAGGAGTACAAATACAGAAAATCACCATGAAATAATGTCTGTTCTTGTGAAATAATAATAATAATAATAATAATAATAATAATAATAATAATAATAATAATAATAATAATAATAATAAAAACGTAACAAATTTCTGTGGTCATGAAATGTTGGATTCCTCTGGGGTATACGCTTCAGTAGAGTAGGTTCCTGAGAAAAGCGCTAATCATAACAGAGAGATAGAAATCTTAGAAGCTTAAAATAGACCCCGCCCCCACAGCTTCTGGAAAGTCTCATCATTCATCATTATCGTCATTTATCAATCATAGTCATAGTTATTTTATTATTCAAGCAGTTTAACATTGCCTAGTTTAACATTTTATCTCCAAAATAAGATAAATAAGAAAATATCAAATGTTGTTTCTGATTAGCATATGACTGAAATAATAATAATAATAATAATAATAATAATAATAATAATAATAATAATAATGATAAATATGACTATTATTATTATTACATTTTATAGTTCATTATTGTTATTATTTATAATAATAATAACAATAACAACAATAATAATTATTATTATACATTATTATTATTAATGACAATTATTATTATTATTATTATTATTATTAATAGTAATAACATTGTAATAGGAAGGTAATTTTAATGTTTTAAAGCTCTGTGAGGTTGGGCTCATGGCTACTTTTTTGAATCTGTCATCCATTCAGGAGCTGCTTGCTGCTTTTGAAAAAGAATCCGCTGAGACCAAAAAGCCGCGACTGCTGCTCACGGCTGCCGTGGCGGCTGGGAAGGGCAACATTGATAATGGTTATGAGATTGCTGAGATATCTAAGTGAGTGTCGCAGAAAGCTTTACACACATTTTAACAGTGAATCATAAAGTGTGACCAGCATTATCAGGAGGTTTGGGTACAGCATGAGGAGGATCTTGTGCTTGTCTGACTGCAGTTTAAATCCTGCTTGAACACAAACACGATACCAGAGAAAATCCAAGAGTCAGATTTATAATGTTCGCAGCAAACGTTTATTCTGTTTCTCTATCCTCACCACTGTGTCTGACAGACTTCTAGACTTTATGAACGTCATGACCTATGACTTCCATGGATCCTGGGATCCATTCACCGGCCACAACAGCCCGCTGTATGGCAGCTCTCTTTACCCTGGCGATTACATCTACTTCAACGTGGTACGTGGATTTCTCCAGCCTCTCACTGATATCAGGTGCGATAAGTAACTAGCATAATTGTTTCTAGCATTTGACTCAATCACTGCCAGCCGCTATCTGAACAGAAAGACCCTGACTACCAGCGTTTTTGAGTGTTTTTAGTGTTTTTTGAAGAGTCACAGAATGTTGTGCTCTATTACCATGGACGTAATTTTTTTTTTTTGGGGGGGGGGGGGGGGGGGGGGACAGGGGGGACATGTCCCCCCACTTTTTCCAAAATCAAGTTTTGACCCCTGCACTTTTTACCAAAAACAATATTACACGATATTAAATTGACAGTGGTTGAGCTCTAGGACCAAGCGGAAAACAACCATTTGTGTTGAGGCCTGTTTCCCATTAGAGCATACTGTAAAAATACCCCCCCCCCCCCCCCCCCCACTTCCAAAGTGAAAATTACATCCATGTCTATTACCATGTAAACACCAAAACTACCAAAAGAAAGAGCAGCTTACATCAGGATGAATCAGCGTGTTTCTAGCTTTTTCCATTCTTCAATAATCCGTTTTCATAGTGTGAGCTGCAGAAGCTTTTTCTGGTTTGAACCTCACTTTAGGCACAACGGCATCCCAAAACGATCTCCTAAATGTCTGCTTCATGATCACGTGACGTGAGACACACACGAATGTAAATCAACTTTTGAGCCGTAGTGTTTGCTCTCAAGGTGCACACGTTCATTCCCAGGCACGCTGCAGTGCAGTTGCGGCAGTGAATGAGCTAATCGTTTTACGTTGCAGGATTTTGCCATGAAATACTGGAGAGACCAAGGAGCTCCTGTTGAAAAGCTGTTGGTTGGTTTTCCCACATATGGACGCTCGTTTCGTACAGTCTCAGCAGCTGCTGGCGTCGGAGCACCAGCCAGTGGAACAGGCTCTGCCGGGCCCTACACCCGGGAACCCGGAATGTTGTCTTACTATGAGGTCAGAACACACACAGTCAAATATCTTCTGAAGTAACAAAACAAATTAAAAGACAGTCAGACTCTTACAAGATCAGGATGTTTTCACAGGTTTGCACTTTCCTTAATGGAGCCACGATTCAATGGATCGATGAACAAAAGGTTCCCTATGCAGTCAAAGGCAATGAGTGGGTGGGCTTTGACAACAGGCAGAGCTTTGAGATCAAGGTAAACCCTTTAAATGATCCTTTTCAGCTATAATTAATACAATTAATACAATATATGTTGGGATTTAATGTTGGACCCCTGGGTATTTTTGCCCATAAGGTGTGTTGATTGTTCTAAATTTGAATGTGTAATGTCCTCATTAAATATAATACAACTGGATTATTGTGGTACTGGTGTCGTCCCGTTCCTCTGGTTCTAATCAGAACATTTTGATAAGAAATTAATAAAAACTAATGTATAGCTGTTTCTGTTCACCAAAAACTAGAGGATAGAGCACTTATTATTTCACAATTTGCTGATTTTTATTTGAGAGTACAACAGAGGAGTGAGATAAAAAAAAAGCTTGTCTGTGTGCATTGATATCGTGATAGAAGGAAGCGATGGAAGCAGCTAAAGAGGGTGAAGTACAGACTGAGCAGAAGATGGCGCTCGTGTTATAGCCTTTATTTTTCTTTCATGCAAATGAAGCTTCAGTCCTGGTCATTTTTCATGTAGAAAACTGGATCTTGGCCTTTTTCTTTTTTCTTTTTATTTATTTTTATCTTCTTATGAAAATGTTTTTGCAGCCTCTTTTTCAAATATGATTACATTTACAGGGATAGAGTCATATTAGAGTCAGTTTTACTTTTCACAAAGACTTTAAAGGTTTAATCTGGTAAATAAAGATATCAGTTAACATAAAAGACAAGTTTGTCTAAGAGAGGCCAGAGGCAAACAAAAGGGACCTTAAACACCTCCAAACTTTGTTTTGTTGAGTTTATTGGCTCATCCAGCAGTCCAGAAACATGAAGGTGAGGTTTGTTAGTCATTCTAAATTGTCTACGAGAGTAAGTGGGTGTATGACTGAATGTAGCTTCTAAAACAATCGTTAAAAGCTGGAATTCTGTATTTAAGGCCCTACAATTGAAAATGTGGCTAACGAATCACATGACTGTTAATTAATGATACATCCCAGCCAGCATACAGTGGTGGGCCCGATGTGGAGTAAACATGGGCAAACCAAATGGGTCCCAACAGGTTTTGTCCAAAGTTTCAATGGTGGCCGCACAAGGGTTGGTCCACATAGATTTTAATGGGTTCGACATTGGTTTCCAGAGGAACCCATGGTTGACTCATGCGTATTCCATTTAAATTTTTGTGGGAAAACCCCTGTTAAGCCACCATGGAAATCACGGCCAAACCTGTTGGTTTGCCTTATTGTTTTTTCCACATGAGGCCCCCCTATTAATGATGTCTAGGTTAAAAAAACTTCAAGAGCTCAAGACATGTTAGTCCATTTTGAACAAAGTATGTTGATGTAAAGCTGCGTTTTACAAACCAGCGTTTGTTGGCAGGCTCAGTTTGTGAAAGAAAACAAGTTTGGAGGAGCATTCATCTGGTCGCTGGATCTGGATGATTTTGCTGGACAGTTCTGTGGTCAAGAAAACTATCCTCTCATTCGTTATCTCCGCTCTCTCCTGGATACAGGTAAACATTTGTCACCGCAGTCACCAGCTTCTCTAACGTAAAATCTCTCCATTGTATTTTGAATTATATTTTTCTGAATATCTTTACTAGAATCGCCACCACCCCCTCCAGAAACCACTCTTTCCCCAGCCACCACGACAAGCCGCCCCAGCTCAGCTTCTACCACAGCAGCTACTAGACCAACCACTGCTAAGTCCACCACAACAGCTGCTGGCTCGACTACTGCCAAAACTACTACAACAGCTGTTCCTGGAAGTGATTTCTGCACTGGAAAAGCTGACGGAGTCTATGAAAACGACAAGGATAGTAACTCCTTCTATCAGTGTGTTCAGGGACAATCATACTTGCAACAATGTCCAGCTCGTCTTGTTTTCAACGAGAGTTGCAAATGTTGTGACTGGTCCAAATAAATGTCTTTTTCATCAAACAGGAAGTGTTGTGCTGTTGTTTCACTGGAAACAAAACTAACAAGTTATAGTATTAAAATCCTCTAAATATGAAACATGTGTAAATTCCCTGTAGTCTCAAACTGTGCAAGACGCATTATAACCAATAAAAGAAAGAAAGAAAGAAAGAAAGAAAGAAAGAAAGAAAGAAAGAAAGAAAGAAAGAAATCTTTTATATAACACCTCAAGATAAAAATCACATGGCGCTTCACAAAAACAAAACAAAAAATTGAAGTATAAAAAAGATTTTAAAAATGATTGAAATATGTTTAAAATAAGAAAAAAATATTGTGATAAAAGGGAGAGAGAAAATCAACAGGAAATAGGGAAATCAGTGGATCCTGGGAAGGCAAAATAAGAACAATAGGGAGAAGGTGGGGATGAAGGTTACACCAATGCTTGAGCAGCTGAGTCTTCAGCTGCTTTTTAAAGGAGACCACTGAGTCCACTGATCTCAGGCTCAAGGGGGGAGAGGTCCAGAGTCTGGGGGCCACAGCAACAGATGATCTGTCACCTTTGGTCTTTAGCATGGTGCTGCACAACCAGTAGGTTTAAGTCACTGGACCTCAGGGACCTGCTGGGGGTGTAGGGAGTGACCCCGGCTTTCCACAGGAGCCGTCAGCAGCACGTTACTGCAGCAGCACGTCATAGCTGCTGATAGGAACCGCTGTGGTCAACAGAACCTTTTCCACTGGAGCCATCAGCAGCCATCAGCAGCGCGAGTCGGCTGCGTCTCAGGAGCAGCATGTCGCGGCCTTTACGCACCGGTTCTATTTTCTACGCGCGACACCTCTGAAACAGGTCAAGTTCGACATTTTTGGGGAAGGAAAGACAGGAAATCGGACGCGGAAATGGAGAGAAGCTCCCAAGCTTTTCAGAATAAAGAACGTACTGCTTTCCGGTTGCTATACTTTAAAAAAGGTTACTAACTGTGCGGCTCCGTGAGAAGTTATCACCTAGCTAGCGGTCTCCTTTGTTTTTCAGGTCCGTATTGGCGATTATAAAACAGACAAAACATAAAACACAAACCATGTTGTAGTTTTCTCCTGCTTGTTGTTGTGTTTACTGACGAAGTCACTCGTGTAACTTCGTGCTCGGTCGGTGACAGCTGCTCCCCTGCTGCTTCGCGTCTCATGGGAAGGGCAAAGCAGCAGCTTACGCAAGCAAGACGTGCTGCTGCAGTAACGTGCTGCTGACGGCTCCAGTGGAAACCCGGGGTAAGAAGATCACCAATGTATGATGGTGCTTGTCCATGTAAGGCCTATAGACCAGAACCAGGATCTTGACATGAACCCTGAAGTTGACTAGCAGCCAGTGAAGCTGGAGGAGAAGCGGGATGATGTGGGTGTGTTTGTATGGAGCCAGGATTGGGACAATATTCAGCGTAACTTGTACCAAGTTTTGTAACTTTGAACATGTTTCATCACATGCAACTTTGGATTCGTAACTTGTAACTTTGGATTCGTAACTTGTAACTTTCGTCTTCGTCGTCGTCTTCCTCCGCTTATCCGGGTCCGGGTCGCGGGGGCAGCATCCCAATTAGGGAGCTCCAGGCCGTCCTCTCCCCGGCCTTGTCCACCAGCTCCTCCGGCAGGACCCCAAGGCGTTCCCGGACCAGATTGGAGATGTAACCTCTCCAACGTGTCCTGGGTCGACCCGGGGGCCTTCTGCCGGCAGGACATGCCCGAAACACCTCCCCGGGGAGGCGTCCAGGAGGCATCCTGACCAGATGCCCAAACCACCTCAACTGGCTCCTTTCGATCCGGAGGAGCAGCGGTTCTACTCCGAGTCCCTCCCGAATGTCCGAGCTCCTCACCCTATCTCTAAGGCTGACCCCGGCCACCCTACGGAGGAAACTCATTTCGGCCGCTTGTATCCGCGATCTCGTTCTTTCGGTCATTACCCAAAGCTCATGACCATAGGTGAGGATTGGGACGTAGATCGACCGGTAAATCCAGAGCCTGGCTTTCTGGCTCAGCTCCCTCTTCCCCACGACAGATCGGCTCAGCGTCCGCATCACTGCAGACGCCGAACCAATCCGCCTGTCGATCTCCCGATCCCTCCTACCCTCACTCGTGAACAAGACCCCGAGATACTTAAACTCCTCCACTTGAGGTAGGACCTCTCCCCCGACCCGGAGGTGGCAAGCCACCCTTTTCCGGTCGAGAACCATGGTCTCAGATTTGGAGGTGCTGATCCTCATCCCAGCCGCTTCACATTCGGCCGCGAACCTACCCAGCAAGAGCTGAAGGTCAGAGCTGGATGAAGCTAGGAGGACCACATCATCCGCAAAAAGCAGAGACGAGATTCTCCTGCCACCAAACTCGACACACTCCACACCACGGCTGCGTCTAGAAATTCTGTCCATAAAAGTGATGAACAGAACCGGTGACAAAGGGCAGCCCTGGCGGAGTCCAACCCTCACTGGGAACAGGTCCGACTTACTACCGGCTATGCGGACCAAACTCACGCTCCTCTGGTAAAGGGACTGAATGGCCCTTAACAGAAAGCCACCCACCCCATACTCTTGGAGCGTCCCCCACAGGGTGCCCCTGGGGACACGGTCATAAGCCTTCTCCAAATCCACAAAGCACATGTGGATTGGTTGGGCAAACTCCCATGCCCCCTCCATCACCCTTGCAAGGGTATAGAGCTGGTCCACAGTTCCACGGCCAGGACGAAAACCACATTGCTCCTCCTCTATCTGAGATTCAACTATCGATCGGACCCTCCTCTCCAGTACCTTGGCGTAGACCTTTCCCGGGAGGCTGAGGAGTGTGATCCCCCTATAGTTGGAACACACCCTCAGGTCACCCTTCTTAAAGATGGGGACCACCACCCCGGTCTGCCACTCCCTAGGAACTGCCCCCGATGACCACGCAATGTTGTAGAGACGTGTCAACCATGACAGCCCTACAACATCCATAGCCTTGAGATACCCAGGACGAACCTCATCCACCCCCGGGGCTCCGCCGCTGTGTAGTTGTTTGACTACCTCAGCAACTTCTGCCCCCGTGATCGGACAGTCCATCCCCAGGCCTCCCAGCTCTGGTTCCTCCTCGGAATGCACATTGGTGGGATTGAGGAGCTCCTCAAAGTATTCCTTCCACCGTCCGACTATAGCCTCAGTTGAAGTCAGCAGCTCCCCATCCCCACTGTAAACAGTGTGAGCGAGTTGCTGCCTTCCTCTCCTGAGGCGCCGGACAGTTTGCCAGAACCTCTTTGGAGCCGATCGATAGTCTTTCTCCATGGCCTCACCAAACTCCTCCCACGCCCGAGATTTTGCCTCGGCAACTGCCACTGCTGCACCCCGCTTGGCTATCCGGTACCTGTCTGCTGCCTCCGGAGACCCACAGACCAGCCACGCCCTGTAGGCCTCCTTCTTCAGCCTGACGGCTCCCCGAACCTCTGGTGTCCACCAGCGGGTACGGGGGTTGCCACCACGACTGGCACCGGCCACCTTACGACCACAGCTAGCAACAGCCGCCTCGACAATCGCAGAGTGGAACAAGGCCCACTCGGACTCAATGTCCCCCACTGCTCTCGGGACGTGGTCAAAGCTCTGCCGGAGGTGGGAGTTGAAGACCGTCTTGACAGGTTCTTCTGCCAGGCGTTCCCAGCAGACCCTCACTATGCGTTTGGGTCTTCCAGGTCTACGCGGCATGTTCCCTTGCCATCTGATCCAACTCACCACCAGGTGGTGATCAGTTGACAGCTCCGCCCCTCTCTTCACTCGGGTGTCCAAAACATACGGCCGCAGGTCAGATGATACGACTACAAAATCTATCATCGACCTGTGACCTAGGCTGCCCTGGTACCAAGTGTACCGGTGGGCATCCTTATGTTCGAACATGGTGTTCGTTATGGCCAAACTGCGGCTTGCACAGAAGTCCAATAACAAAACACCGCTCGAGTTCAGATTAGGTGGGCCGTTCCTCCCAATCACACCCCTCCAGGTCAAGCTGTCATTGCCCACGTGAGCATTGAAGTCCCCCAGCAGGACAATGGAGTCCCCTGATGGAGCACTATCCAGCACTCGTCCCAGGGACTCCAAAAAGGGTGGGTACTCTGAACTGATATTTGGCCCATAAGCACAAACAACAGTCAGGACCCGTTACCCGACCCGAAGGGGCAAGGAAGCTACCCTCTTGTCCCCCGGGGTAAACCCCAACACACAGGCAGAGAGTCTCGGGGCTAACAAAAAGCCAACCCCAGCCCTCCGCCTCTCACCCGGAGCAACTCCAGCAAAGTAGAGTGTCCAACCCCTCTCCAGGTCTCGGGTTCCAGAGCCAATGCAATGTGTCGAGGTGAGTCCGACTATATCTAGCCGGTACCGCTCAACCTCTGCCACAAGCTCCGGCTCCTTCCCCGCCAGCGAGGTGACGTTCCATGTCCCAAAAACTAGTTTTCTTGTCCGGGGATTGGACCGCCAAGGCTCCCGCCTTGGTCTGCCACCCGATTCGCATTGCACCTGACCCTTCATGTTCCTCCTGCGGGTGGTGGGTCCACAGTTGGACGAGCCCATGTATCCGGTTCGGGCTGGGCCCGGCCGGGCCCCATGGGCGAAAGCCCGGCCACCAGGCGCTCGCTCACGGGCCCCAACCCCAGGCCTGGCTCCAGGGTGGGACCCCGGTAACCCTCCGGGCCGGGTACTCCGACTCTTCGTTTTAACCGCCATGAAAGATCCTTCGAACCGTTCTTTGTCTCACCCTTCACCTAAGACCAATTTGTCATGGGAGACCCTACCAGGGGCACTAAGTGCCCCAGACAACATAGCTCCTAGGATCATTAGGGCACTCAAACTCCTCCACCACGATAAGGTGACGGTTCAAGGAGGAGCGTAACTTGTAACTTTGAATTCGTAACTTGTAACTTTAGTTTTCTAACTTGTAATTCTCAATTTTTACTTGTATTTCTTGTTTTGTAACAGGAAATTTTCACTCAGGGTAAAAACAAGGTCCAGAGTGTGCCCCCTGTTGTG